CGATGACGACTCGACGGGGGTAGTCTATGTTGGATGCTTCTGACATTTCTAAACGTGCGTTACGATGGTAAGGCTGTGTGTATGGTCGCCGAGAGATGGTAGAGAAGAAAAACTAATCCCAGGGATGTTCGTTTGCAGAGGAAGCACGAGCAAGAAGGTCGAGAAGAGAAGAAAGGGTTATCCGTCGTCGCTGGGTTGGAAAAAAACGAGGCCACTGCCCACTATGCCCAGCGGTCGGTTGGGCACCGAGACAACCGAATTGTGCGCCTGAGACAACAATGCCAATGGCTGTGTCGAGGTCGAGGGGAGTGCGTGCTCCTCAGGGTCTCCAATTCTGTCATATAAGAGGGTAACCAGGTTAATATGTCAATTGCACGCAGGTAACAACAAGCATGCGCACACTGATGATTGAAACAGATAAAACAGATAGAGCCAAAGTGCTATTTCCGTCCTCTACGCTCCATATTCCAGGCTGAATAATTGCTCCAGGGTGATGATTGTTTTGAGGTGTGAAGAGAGAAAAGTACCAAGACTGAGTCACGGCTGGATGACGGTTTACGGAGGTGGAAGAACAAAGCGAGAAGGACATCTGGAACGGTAAAACGGACCTGGGCGCTAGAATTGAAACTCGGATATCGCCCGGTCTATTTCCGCCTCGCCAAACAATCTCACGCCGCTGAAGCAGATTCATGTTTGAACTTCCACTCCGTACCTACAGCAGCATGGCGCAGTGGTAGCGCGCGGGGCCCATATTGACCACGATGAGGGAACCCCGAGGTCACTTGATCGAAACAAGTTGCTGCTATTGACCGTTTCCATATTCTTTTATCGTCGGTGGTCGGTGCATGCTGAGACCGAACGATTTACGTTTGAAAGATCGAGGGCTACCGTGGAACCCTGGGATCGGGTCTGAGGTTAGCCTCTTAAATCTCTCTACCTCTCTCATCTCTAACGATGGCCATGCGTTGCTTTCTCCCGCCATAACTGGTCCCGCTCTCTCCGTTATTTCATTCCTTCCTTCGATTACTTCACATCGAAGCATTGTCAAACCAGCGTTCGATGACACACGAAAATGGCCACCAGTGCACCACGCAACGATACCTTCAACATTAGCAAATTACTGACTCGAGGGAGAAGGAGATGGATTTGGTAGATGATACCCCTAGAGAGCTAGAGGGCAACATTACGGTTCACAAAAGCAAATTAGCGGACCAGGTGAGCACTCGTACAATTTTCGAGCTCGAGCGCCATTGACCACTTGCTTCATGTATCCTCTCCCCACAGACTGAAAAAAAATCACGACTGTTGCCAATTGAAACTCAGTGACCTGCTCAACGTCTTGAAGATTTAACAATCACAAGGCCTGTGTATGAAGGAGCGGAATCAGAAAACCCAACTTCAAGTTCCTTCCGCTATCACTCCTTTCACACGCCCTCAGGACTCCGCCACCCTTAGAGCCTCCTGTAGCCACCCATTGGTCTTCAGGACCTCCGAAAACTATTCTTCTGAGATGATTCAACCCAGTCCCAACCTCACCGATGAGTTCGAGCTCGTCAGAGGTCGAGGCTTCAAATATGGCGATCGTATCACCTTCAGGTGAAGGGTCGTTACGGTCAAAAATGTAGACATACGGGATATATAACGAAGTCGGTTTAGAAATCACAATCTCAGCGACAAGGGTTCCTGCTGCTGCTGCCCCTCCTGACGGCGGGCTAAGAAGTATTGGTTCTTTCGGTAACGAGGACAACGGGTGCTTGGTGACTTGGGCTATCAGTTCCAGACCTATGTACAGGATACCATCTAGAGCAAATGAAAGGTAAATCACACTAATGTCATTGAAAGATCGCCGCACGCACCATGAATAGCTAGGTGCCTGAGACCCTCACCGGGAAAGTACGCTATCTCGGCCGCCGCTTTCCAACCATCCGCTTCGCGATTGAAACAATGTTCATGATCTACTCCAAGGTTAGAGACCAAAATTTCCCTAGGTTGTTGTCGAATTGCCGCCCGCAGGTCCTTGGACTTGACCACCACCTTCAGCATCGGCAAGTCACTCCAGAGGAACTGTCTGGCATGGGTTTCGTAGAGGGGTGGAAGGGCGACATCACAAGATAACGGACCTGGTGAGCACTCATACACTTTTCGAGCTCGACCTCCCGTTGACATTAATATCACTACAGTAGGTACTTGCTTCATGTGTCTCACCTCCCAAAAACCGAAAAATCACGACCACTGATGCTAATCAAACTATCATACCGCATAGAACAGATCGAAGTGGTCTCCTCGACTTGCTCACATCTGCGCAATCTCGCTCGCCAGTTGTCCCTTGATGTAGAGTCTGGTACGGAACCCGGAACTCCCCCCCCTGTCGGAGAATTGACTCGGACTTTGAGTATACACATCCACCCCGGCACCCTGGTCACTTGGTAGAGAAATTGAAACTTCCAGTTGCAAGAAGAGGACGACCTCAAATGAACGGCGTATGAGCGTATTTATAGCAACTAGCATGGGTGCACTACTACGGCTCTTCTGGTCGAGCATACACCCCCAAATCCAAGTCCGAGATCTTGACCCGGGAAGGTATTCTATAATCATTCGAGTTCGAAAAAGAAAAAGAAAAACAGGTGCTACTATTCCATATGATTACACCAAATCTCGAGGAGTTCTAAGCACGATATTGTCAGAGGTCGGTTTATTTAATATATTCACTCGAAACGCCCGCTGCCGCTTGTTGGCGCCCATCAAATTCACAGTCCGAGTCAACCCTCTGACAGGGCCGGATTCCATCCTAGAGATGTTGCTTCCATATTGCCGTGCCCGGTCGAGTCGGTGAGGAGAAACACCGAGAAAAAGACGGGGCGTTTCAAGGATAGTTGTTGTGGTCTGCGAAGCCACACGGTTCGGTTCTGACAACGGATAAGCTGAGGTTTCCGGCGGGCAAGTCTCTAGACGGACTGAGGCTGACGCCGTGGGGATGAGACTGCGGTGCTACGAGATTGCATCGGGCCCTCCAAATGCAGGGTTTGCACGGTACGATGGAAAAACATGATTTCAGATGTAACACGCCAGGTATTTGACGCGGCAAACAGTAACTGGAGAAGTTTATCACATCGGCATGGATGGGTTTGAAGTCGGCGACACTGATAGGAAGAAGAGGGATTGCCACGATCAAGTCTTACGATGCAAGTGGTCCAATCTGACCAGCAACGCCATCGTGGGTCGGCGTCTTTCAATACACTGTAAGCGCTCATCACTGACCGCAGCGAGTCAACATATTTTCTTACCAGGCACGCCGGAATCATCTTGGTTCTCAATACTTACCATTTTAACTCCAAAAGCTCGGTGTGCTCAGTCGCCCCGGACCTACAATGTGGAAACATTCAAGGGGCAAGGTATAAAAGGACTCGTGGACAGCGGATTCTTCATCACTGTAATCAACGGCTCCCTACCGTTACCCTCACCTCAATCGGCCTCCTCGTTGAACAGAAAAACCGAACGTCAGCAAACGATGGGACACATGATATCAAGACTGCGACGCTTCGAGACGTAATTGGCGCCGGCAAGCCTGACTCTCACTGCGAGCGAGGATAACAACAAAGTGACAAGGGAATCATGGGATGCGCTTTGTACTTCTGATACTGAGGTACTGGGACACTCAGTGTTTGGTGCCTGTAGGGAAGGTTCAGTACAGGTGAGCCCTCATTGCCGAACCGGGACTCATGAAATCCATATCTGTTTTTTGTTGATTTTTCTTCTTCACTCTCCGTAAAGCGCGAAAGCGATGCACTATCCCACGATGCTGAGGGGAGCTTGAGGATGACAAGTCGTCAAGTCGCCGGTGACCACAGCGGATTCCGGGTCGAGTACGAAAGTGGCCGCCACGTAAATCACTTTTATGGACCGACCATCATCTTCCATAACCGTAATCACAATGGGGATAATTTCAGCCAGAACTCTGTGGGGGCAGACCTCGAGAGATACATTTAATTCTGGTCAGGGGGTTCCAGGTCAGTGCTAAAATGATTCTTCTGGTTCCATGCTTACTGTGACTTTCAATAGGTTCCTCCCAAATTTATCTTGGCCACTCAGTGATGGTGCGGGGCGCCAACGAATCTGGTAAGCTCCCAAAATAGCAGTTAACGACAGAGTCTCCCTCACACGAGACAATCTTCCTCAATCCAGAGCAAAAACAAAGAGACGTCGACCCGACCTCGACCACCGACGGGAAGCAACGTCTTGATTCAAGCATGGGTCTCACACTCGCCTCATGGGGAACATCATGATGATGATGTGGATCCAGATTACTGGCCCCAGTACACGCTGAATTCTCTTGATAGCATCCCGTTTCCAATCGGCACGGCGTTGTAGTGTGCGTCCCTCCCACTTGATGAGTCCGATATTTCCTTTTCTATTATGCCTTACTTCTTACGACGGCTACTCAACTTCAAGAGCTGACCCCTTCTCAAAAGTCACCCTCAGCTTTAACACAAACTGCGTTACTTCGTAGCAGTCACCTTCAGTGGGTTGGATCCGGGTCGCCCTTCTTATACCTTCTCAATAACTTTTAGTGCTCGACCTTTCTGATACTTATCACTTCCAACGTCCATTCATCCTTCTCCCGGTACCAGCTGCCATCTGTTCCCATATCACACACTCAGGGCGTTTGGAAGTCGGACAAATATGGTTGCCCAGGCAAACGGCCCGGTGTGCTTCCAGGGGTCCTGTTATTATGCACATATATACATTTGAAAGTCCAAGCTAAAAGCGATTTGTATGGCTGACCTGAATAAAGTCGACAATGAATCATAGACACTTGCAATTGTAGAAGTACGTTAGGTTCTCCCCGGCCACAAGGATGTGAATCCTATCGATAAAATGGAAGGACTTGACTCAGCGTTCATCCATTATTATCTCGATCACTCATTGCTCAACACCCCCTTACCCCAGCTGCCTGTCTCGAAAAGAAAAAAGGGAGATGGGAAACGAAATATCATGCATGGGGTCACTATTAGGATCGGCGCCGGCAGAGTCCGAGGACCTGAATCCTCTGACTCTGAGCAGGGCTGAAAGTGAAAGTGGAAGAGAAATACATCTCCAGGCTGCTCCTCGTGCCTCTCAGGACCCGGCAGAAGATGAAGCATTTCGCAGTGCTTGTAGGACTAGGGATCAGGGGTCCCTGGATGATGCAGATGATACGGCGGCACCGTTATCACAAGAAGAGCGGCGGGGACCGTCTGAAGGCGATTCAGAGTTGAACTCGCTGACAGGGAGGCAAGATCTAGTACAGGTAAGCCCCATTTCATTTTTTTTGCCCTAGAGCACGAGTCTAGGATGTTCACATTTGTTTTTTGCCTTTATGCACTATGAATCGCAAGACGGACTCACCGGTTCACCTCACTAAGGTGAGCTCAAGTCGGACCAGGTATCGACAGAATGTCAGGATCAGGCCGGACCGTGGACGGTGATCCGACCTGAGCCTTCTGCAATGCGTGAGAACGGACTGAGAACAAGGGGAGTGAGGAATGCAGAATATGGAATATAACTTGTGTTGATCCAACTAAGGATCAAATAGATACATAGGACTATATATACTAATAGAATAACCAATAAGTAAACTAATGGAAACACGTAGCAGTCAATATGGAACTTGTATGAGATGAGCATATAGGGGAGGAGTGACCCAGATCCTCACACAGAATACAGGCGAAAGCTATGGACTCGTCGAATGCGAAGGTGGCCACCACCGTGCATGTATCAACTATCACGGACCAACAACCATAATTCATAATCATCACGGGGATATCT